TATAATATAACAAACACGTTATTATAGCGCTATAACTAAGCCATTTATGAGTACTGAGTGGTGTGGTAAAGGCCTCAAGGCACCTACGCCAGTAGCGCTTTTCTGCCGCTTAAGTACATTTTCTACGGAACTACTTCAAATATTTTAAAAAGTAATCAGTGTTTTAGAAAGAGAAATGTATTCTCCAGATGTTTTATATCGGCACGTTTTGCATTATTGTTGACCGTTTAATTACAAACGACGCCTGATTTTCAACTTGAAAATTTTTTTGTAATAAAAATTGATTTCACCGATTTTTTTTAATGCCTAAGCCAATTAGTTTTTAATATTTTTACATGTTTTATTATTTTCTGACTATCTAGCTTTAATAAAAGACCAACTTTGATGAAATTAAGCCAAATGCTGATTCTCAGTAACAAAAAAACTAACTAAAGTCAAAGTCGTCAATCCGCCATGTTTGGACGCCATTTTGGGGCAGTTCGTTCACTTTTTTTTGTGGGAACATTGGCTTTTTTTTAATAAATTGTCTCAAGGAACACAACGATATGCAATTTATAGGGATGTGTGGGGGGGGAGGTGCACGGTAAGGATGTCTGGCCCACCGTGTATTATATCCAGAGAACCAAGCAATCGTGCGCGTGTGGGAATTCCCACACACAATGGGCAAAGTTTACCGTTACTTTTAAACTAGCAATTTATTCAATAAGAATTAGTTTATCCGACTAGAAAATAACCCTCTAATTTAATATTTGAGTAATAAGACTCAGCTATACCCCTATTAATATACTCGCTCAAAACCTGTTTGTTTGATTCTGAACATTCTTTGTTTGTTGTTATCTAACTAAAAACATTGAATTTTTTTACTGAATCTATAGAAGTCATTTTAAAAACTTTGAAATCAATTTTTTAATGTTATAACATATATATTAAAAAAATAAGAGTCTGCCGGTCGGATCTTACTGCAAATACAAATGCGACTGATTTAATTAATATTAGACCAGTAACTCAAGGGTAAACGGGAAAATCATTGCGAAAAATATGGGAAAAGTTTTTGTTTTTTTAAGCTTTTATATATTGATTAAGATATATAATAAACAAAATCGCTAACACGGACCACCAAGAAAAACGTTTTACAGCCAAAAAAGTCAGATTTTTTCGATATTTTTTTTTTGTATTTTCACCTTTTTCTTTATTGATTCAGAAATATGACAATCTGTCACAATTAAGGACATTTATAATAGTGTTCAGAGAGCACATTCACACTCTATTTAAAATTAATACAGAAACTAATAATAATAAAAGTAAATGTATATAAACAAAAGAACTAAACCAATCAAAATAACAACTAAAACACATGCATACTATACAATATTTCCAGAATCCATTCACTCCGAGCTAATTCTTTCTCCACACTCGTGGAAGGTGTTAATAATGGTTAGGGTAGAAAATACAATAACAAATAACATCAATTAATTAATCCTAACACACCTCCTCGATTGAAGCTTTACATAATTGAGAAATTTATGTACCTAAAGATTCAATCGTAAACATTAATATTTAACAGTATCTAAATTCAACAAATTTTTCTTTGCATAATGACTTTGTCAATATATCGGCAACATTATCATTTGTGTTAACATATTCAATATTTAGAATATTTTCATTAACTAATTCTTTTATAAATTTCCTTTAGTCGACTCAGCCTGAGATTCCATACATTCAGCCCTCAAAATTTATCGTTGACGTCTAAATCCTAACACCCTACTTACAAAATTAAATTTACACTCAATTATATACAATTTATTTACAATTATCCAGAATGAGTAACCTATCGATGGTTTCGCCAGGACCCATTAGCTCGTCAACGGAAGGGACGCTAAATTAAAAACCCCTTTTTGCCCTCTGGAATGGGGCAAAGACTACCGTGTCTTCAAATGAGATATTAAACGGCCTGCCCTAACATGATTCAGAGCCATATAACCCTTCATAAATACATCATCTGTTAAAATAGGAATGGTTTTTTACTTTCGGAGACGTCCGTTCTGATATCAAGGGTTCTACTAAAGCTGTGGGGCCTATATATTCTTCTTTATTGGCTAAGAGCTCATGGGTCTCCTTATCGACCTGGAAAAATAAATCTTTGATGATTATGGAACCTAATACATAACATTTTTATGTTTCTTCTTGGCCTTTTCTAATTCCTCCCTGTTTTCCACCGATTTCTTTAATATTTCCTATGAGATTTTCAGATTCATCATTTAATGTAGAGGCTACGTTTTCTTGCTCCTCGAAGATAGTTCCTGTTTCTTCAATGTTTCTGTACTCGCCTAAGGAGAGTACGGCTAATACAGGTTCATCAACTTCACTCACAATAGGTTCCTGTTTAGATTCAAGACTTTCATTACCTTGACCTTGAACATTTTCAATGTCACCACTTGTTTGATTATCTACGGTAGAAAAGGGAATTTTCTGATCATTATTTTTGGTGATGATCTCCCCCAACTCCTCTTCTAGCTTATTACCATTAATTTTTAACTCTTCATCCAGTAGTCTCGCCTTAACAAAATCCATTTTTACATTTTTAATTGACTCTAATGCTGTCACAATTGTACCAAATTCTTCAGGCAATGTCATGAATAAATGACATATTTTATCAGTTTCATCAAATTGTGTTCCCATGTCCACTAATTCTCTAATAATAGTATCAAATATAATGTAATATTTCTCAATAAACAAGTTTAAAAAAAACATCTAACAAGTGGCAAGGACCAATGAAGATCGACCGGCGATCTCCGACAGGCGTCCCTTCAACCTAAGACCGGTATTGTTGACTTTTTGACTTCTGAACCTTGACATCTCTTCGACATTATACTTGCTTCACAAAATGCTGAAGCAACTTTTTCAAAAAGCCCAAGGTTGTAGCTCAGGAATATATTGGGTGAGATTCTACCGAGTATTCCTAAGAACTATTCAACATTTACTTATTTGCTTTGACTACAACGATAGCAAGACGAACCGATATTTTCCTAAGAATTGGTTGATATCTTATAGGAGATTCATTGTACATACAGAAAATAGAGACAAAAGTTAAGAAATCTTTGGTAAGATTCCTTCTTTCTTGACTGAAGCCCATCCAAAATACAAAAATTATATATTTGTTTGTTCACTGTTCATTATTGGTTACTATAAGTGATCTATTCTAAATATTTAAACAACAACCTAATTATTTAAATATAATGTCCGATCTAGAGTCATTAAGCTACAGTAAATATATTTAAGGTTACACATCCATGAAATATTTTTATATTTCACTTTTTCCTTCACACAAATACAATGAAATAGTATTTTAAATAATGCCTTTTCCTTGATTCGGTGGATTTTAAATACTTCTTTTTCAAACTTGAAAACAAATTTAAACGTCTTCATTTAGTAAGAAAATTCCATTTAATTTCTTTGGAAACTTGTGATTCACGTCAAATAATGTTAGTTTTCAGAATTTTTATCCTCACTCTGCGTTACCTTCTACAATTTTATTGATTATATATTAATTTTTCTAAAATTCTCCGCTTTCCAACGATATATTATAGCTTCTGACTATTATTTCCAGAGATTTATTTTCGACCTGGATAAGAATTTCTCTTTTTGTCTCCTTTATTCAATTTTCAAATTCTTTCAAAAGTTATATTTAGCCATTTTTTTTATAGTTACTGTTAATCAGAGAAAGTTATTTTTTAAAATAAAATAAAATTAAAGGTAATTTAGAGGAAGTCGTATATGAACATTGGGCATTTAAGCCCTGTAAAGTGACATCAATGAGAATAAGACTTAGCTGATTTTAAAAACAACGTAATAATATATTGATATACCGAGTTTAATCAAAATTGTTAGAGCTGATTTCGAGAATATCGTAAAAATGTGTATCACCGTTGATAAAAAGTGGCACTTCCGATAAGTCGATTTTAACGAAAACGTTGCTGTAACATCGGAACCATATACAAACCTTAAATATGCAATTTAAGTATCGTACGACTATTCGTTTTTGAGCTAGGCTGTTCACAAACACGCACAGACCGTTTTGCGCGACTTGGTTATTTCGACTCAAGGAACCTCAAAACATATATTTTTGTTGAAAACTAAGATTCGAAAATTTTCACGATAGCAATATTTTCCCTTACAATATACATAGGTAAGTGAAAGTAAAAAATTATCTCTAAAAGTATTGTTGTTCGTGTAATTAAACATTTTTTATTGTTTTAATAGGCATTTGAGAATCACTTAAGCAAAGTTAGATTCTTTCATTTTCTTCCAAAACAAAATAATTAACATTATACATATATATAAAGTTTTCGGACATAAGCCCCCCAAAATTAAACCTTAGGACCGCAACTGGAACCAAGAATAAAACCATATACAAGAAGACATTACAATTAGTAACTAATTGTATAAGGAAATTACAAAATATCGAAATATTAATAATGATATCCGAAAAGTGCATTTTGTGAATACATGCAAATCAAAATTTGATTGTATTTTTTAAATATCCGAATAAGGATAGAGATTTTATAACCGAATTTCTAAATATGGATTTTGAAATTTGTATTTAAGTGACAATATTAATAATTTGTATACACATTTCTTTGAGAATTATCTTTATAAAATAATATAAATAAAACAATATAAGAAAATATTAAAAAACAGGTATTTAATCGTCATTATATATTTTTAAAAAATTCTATTTATAATTTAGATTTTCTAAATCGCCATAATCTTAATTCTTTGAATTGTTTAGATTTAAACATATGTAAGCTCCATATAACAAGATTGTTTACTTTTTAATTAATCAGGCGAAGTATCGCAAGTTGTTTACAGATAGAAATGTACCCGTAAACGATAGTAGATGGGGCAGAAATATTACAAACAATAACATATTTTATAAATAGATTAAAATAAGATAAATAATGAGGAAGAAAATAAGAAAAATAATTGTTTTGTCTAGCTACCTGCAATGGAAGGAACATCGGAGCGAGCCATGCCTCTGACTTCTCTTCATCAGAACAGACTGCCCACATTCGGTGTTGGGTCACCTCCCCACTCCTCACCATCCTTACACTCCCGATGAACAGGAATGGACAGCAATAAGTTCCACTTATAATTCTAGAAAATGAATAAACCATTGTCGTTCTGAAAGACTGATTAAGAATTCAAAACCATTTCAGTAAAAATAAATAAGAAGAAAGTGAATTGATCTATTTTGGATTATCAAAATGTAATAGAGCAACGCCCAACACTGAGTTTATTGACATGTCGCATAGTGTGTGGCCGATGTGGAATCTAGGGGGACAAATGTCTGGAAGCGATGGTATATTTTCCACTCATCCAGACTATTTTTTTCTTATTAAAAAAGGTCATTGAATGATTTATAAGCAATTAATCTTTATGCTTTTTCAATTACTTCCTCACTACGTGAGAGAGGTTAAAAAAATCGAAGTTGATGCTCAGAACGAAAATTTTCACTCGCGTTTTACGTTTCAGATATCAAGGATCACAGTTGCTTCGGTGTCTTTCTGCCTGTACTCAAATCGATGTTACTGTTATATTACCTACTACCGTTTATCTAATTGTAATGAAATTTTCAGAGATTGTGTAGGTTGGTGCCTAGATGGTCCCATTTCAATTTTATCAAATTCCTACTTCCGCTTGCGCACGCGTAAATATATTTTCTTAGACATACCAAAATTTCAGACTCAAAGTTAGAAAAAAAGGTACTTATTGGTAAAAAAAATAGTGTAGTATCAATTTCATTCAATTAAGTCTTATACTTTTTCTTATATATGCGAAAACGTGTATTCTTCCATACGTCTATATCACTAAAACCGCACATTCGATTGGCTCAAATTTGGAGGGAAGATAGAGATTGGTTAACAGATAATTAAGTAAGTATCAATTTTATCAAATTGATAAAATCCATTATTCACTAATTCCAAAAATATAATTCCGCTTTCAGATCAATAAATGTATTATTTGACACACCTACAGTTTGAAACGGCTCGTTCTATTTGATCCGTTGGAAATTTGGAGAATAGTATAAAAATTGCATAGTATCAATTTCATTGAATTCCATTTAATAATCAAAATTAATATAAATAATTATTAACAATAAAATTACTGTGAAATATGGAAGGCATTGATCATATGGAGTGGAAGTTATGTTAACACTATATTTTTATGGAGTTACAAAATTTTAAGTTTTATTCAAAAATTTAATTTAACCTTTATTGTTTGGTCGATTTCAAACGTTACTGGCATGACAATTATTGCCGTTGCTTAGATTTCGTGTAATTTGAAATTAATTTTTACTCAGAGTTTGTAAAAAAAGAAAATCTTATTTGTGATTGTTTTTATTAATATTGAAGTTCGACTACCTCGTCGTGGTCTCGTTTTCTCCTTAAATATCAAAGTTTTGTGAACTTCATATTTCAGTTTAATTAGTTTTGTTCTGACTGAAGGAAAGTATTGGTATCATAAGGGGTACCAACAGGGGAGTTTCATGGCGCTTTTCAAATTTCTGCATGGCAGCAAAACAGAATCCTTTGAGAAACTTTTCGTCCCAGAAGAAATCAAATCTTTTATTTTAGATATTTTCTTCTTATAGTAAACCTCAGTTTATTTTGCTATATGAGCTTTCCAGTTAACAGAATGACTAACTTCAAAAGTGCTCAGAAGGAGGTTTCATGGCGCAAGTTGCGCCATTTCAGTGTGTTCGTGAATTGTTTTAATAGGAAGTTTCAAACTCAGAGAAGAGAAAACAGAGAACAGACCGCAGCAAGTTTAATTGTTTTGATAGTGATAACGTATTGGTTCCCCAAAGTATTGTGTTTAGACTTGTGACTGGTGTATATATACTTATTTTGTTATTGTTCGTTTTCTAGTATTTTTCATTTTATTGTTCATTATGTTTTCTCGTTCTTTTTTGTGTTTTTCGTTTGTAAATAGGTTTTTCGTTTTAAGTAAGGTTAAGTGGAACTTATATAGTTGAAGACTTTCTGGACTTTAATCGTTCCTACGACAGCTGAAACTATTAACACATCACTTGCATACAATATTCATTGGACAATAATTGAAAGTAGGGTTGGCCCAATTGTAATTGATATGGAAGAGGAGAATTCCCAAAAGGGTTCCAAGCGAAATGCCAAATGAGCAAGGAAGGGTTGGCTCTCTTGAATTGAAGGCAAAATCGGAGAAGGGTGGAGTTAAAAGTCTACTCCAATCGCCCTTACAAATCAAGGAAAAACTCATTGTTTATGTTCAAAGGACAGATAATGGATTGAATATCAAGGTGCAAAATTATATAAATAGAAAAATTCTAACTTTGATGGATATAATTGAAACACTAGATGATAAAAGTAAGAAAGTACACACAAATGAAGACGTTTCTGAGCTCATCCAAAAAGCAGTTCATGAGTCACTTACGACTCCTAGTATTCATGAGATGATTGCTCGACTTGTGATTGAAAAAACTGTGCCAACAATTATTTATGGACTTATGGCAGCTCCACATACACACATGGCACCTACTGAACCCTACAAAGTCGTAGTCAGTAAAAGAAGCCGCAGGAGGACCAAAGCAGTCAGCAAGGTAGCTAATAATTTAAATAACTAACCCTAAGTATAAATAAACCCATCTACGTCACAATTAATGGGTATGGTAAAAGTCCAGTGGAAATCATCTTTTTATTCCACCGCTGGCTGCCATCTGCCACTGAAATAGGAGTTAATGCCTCCATAGAACGTGCTACCAAGTTTCAGGACTATGGGCACACTAAGGCCACATGTCCATCAGATGCACTGATCTGCAGGTACTGGACATTTTCTCAAGGAGTGCCCCAAAAAACTAGCTCAGGCAGGACCGACATGCATCAACTGTGTGAGGGCAAAGGCCCATCCCAGGCACACTAAGCATAAGGTGGGAAGTCGTGATTGTCCTGTGCATTTAAATTAGTAAAAAAAAATGGCAATGAGGACTTCTTATGAGTAAGATCTCCATCCTCCAGCTAAACATGGACCGCCGGCGTCTAGTTGCGAAAGAGCTACGCGCTCTCTCGCAAACCTATGAAATCATGGCAGCCCAGGAACCAAGCTGCCGGGGAAACAAGGTCCCGGAGTTTGGCTTCACATCGACAGTTATAGCCTTGAGCAGTGGAGAGAGGAGGCCCATGGCTGATATTGTGGTTAACAACCTAAACAATGATGTGATAGATCTGAGACAGTTTATCATGGCGGATTGTGTTGCTTGTCATATCAGATGGGATAACAGATGTTGCCTTTATGCTGGTCTCATCATATTTACCGGGGGGAGGTGATATTGACGAAGACATATCCGCCATGGAAATGAACACGGCTTGCACCAGGAACCACTTATTACCTTTTAGACATCAAGAAATAAATATGGTTCTTGGACTATCTGTAGTCAACTCCATGTAGTGGATATAACATCTACAGTTTTTCATGTTTCAGAGATCGTGTGGGTTGGTGTCGACTTTCTCTTACATATGGCCCACTATTTTCTTTAAAACATCAATACTCAAAAACCACAAGTTCAATTTTGCCTAAATTTGAATGGAAGTTCGGTATTGATAAGTGAATTATCAAGTAGGTAACAATATTATCAAATTCCATCCATTACATTTAAAAAATACATAATGATGTAGAGATGGTTGACTATACTTATATTTTGAGAAGTTTGTCAAGGATGCAATCAATGTAATACTACATTATATATTAGTACTATATTGACCGCACCACTGACTGAATTCTTTTCAAATTAAAAAAAATACGCTTTCGGATCTCCAAACACGTTTTTTAAAATAAATGGTTTTTAACATGCCTATAGTTTGAAAACAGCTCGTTCCATTTGGCGCAAAGTTGGAGAAATCCTAAGAATATAGCAAAAATTGTCTTGTATCAATTTTATTAACGAATAGAAGGGTGCTCATCAAGGTGGATCTATAGTCATTCAAAAATCAAGGATAATACTATAGTGTAAAATAATGTGAAGAATTCCGATAGATTAACTGAAAAATTGAAACCCTATGCCCCACCAGTGTGACATCACGATTGACAGGACCAGACCCTTACCTTTAGCAGATCTTGTTATGACTCAGGATGGGGTCACTGGTTCAGTACTTGATAACTGTTTAGAGAACAATGATTTTTTGCAAGGAAGTAATTTGATCATGAGTACCCTTTTATAAGCTATCTGGTCAATAATGTTTTAAATATATAATTAACATTTCTAATAATATTAATATTTTAACAAACATAATAGATAATAGTTTGTCAAAATATAATAAACAAAAGGTACTCGCAAGAAACATAATAGACAAAAAGACGAAATTTAGAAAACTTCGATTAAATTCTAACAATATAATTAAAAATGACTTATTTCTTACACTAGGAATGGCAACAAACATTATAAATTTGTTGAGATTATTGATAACAGTCTTTGCATAATTACTCAGAGAAAAAAAGGCATTTACAAAACAATCTTTGTATATTTAATCAGAAAAATAAAAATGCATTTACAAAAGTCTTTGTATATCTACTCGGGAACAAAATAAAAATGTATTTACAAAATAGTCTTTATAAAAAAAATTATTTCCCATCACGTTTCCTCTTCTCTTTATTTGCCCTCAATTTTCTTCTTTCACTAGCAGACTTTCGTAAGCCTTTCATCTTACGAGTTTGTAATCTGTGTATATTTTGTTTTCCAACATGTACACGTCCAAGTTTCGAGCCAAAAACATCATGTGAAACATTTTTAACTTTCTTAGCCTGAAACAAAAAAAAATGAGGATGAAATGGGTTTATTATTATATTTCTTAAAGTCGAGAAAAAAAAACATTTATAAAATTTTATTATCTATCTTTATAATATAATACGACAGTTTTTTGCCATTACAATACCTTTTCCGTCTCTCAGGAACAATGTATTTTGATGAATGAGATATCCAACGAAAGGGTATTAAATGGAGCAGTGATGAATCATAGTAACATCCACCCGAAATTTTAGGAAAAAAAGTTATGAATGAGAAGAAAATTTATTTGCAAATTACATCAAAAATTATACATTTTGTTCTTGACTAGACCCATTATTATTTGAAAATTTACTCAATTCCCTACAAAAAAAATAAAATAACAGGGAAATCAGACCATTATTTACAAAGATATAGTGTATTGTGATTTAAGTATTATTTCTTCTAATATTGTTTTCAAAGAAGTGTTATAAAATATTAATTATCATTTTTATAAGAAAAACGTATTACTAATTGTATTAAAC